AAAATTTTTGAATTCAAAGGATTGCTAATAGTAGTTTCCTTCGCTACTTGTACTACAATTGGGATTAAGGGCATTATTGGAATATTGCTAAAGTGTAAAGACACATACTTTTAGTTTATTAGTTTTCTTGTTGGTTATTAACTTGTAAATATTTATCAGAACATTAGTAGTTTGTGATAATTGTAATCAAAACGGTTAAATTAATAAACTAACTTAACCAGATAAATACAGATAAACCTTAAAAATATGATATTATTGAATAAAAAAATAATGTAATCAACTCATTACCGCCAAACAACAAGATAAAGAATGAATAAATTATTTGAAAGGGTCAATTAAATATTCTTTTTTTTTAATTCTAAACATCAAAGTTATTACAAATATCATCTGTCTATATTAAAGTATATATAAAAATTGACTTGTAGATTTGTTTAGAAGAAGTAATTTGATAACTGCAATTTCTAAACCAACTCTTAGAGTAGATAGCAAATCCAATTAACAAATTTTCTTTAATGTTTTTAAAAGACTTTTAAACAATTATAAACAGGTTAGGTTAGGTGAGGGTTTAGTCTCTAAATATTATACTTCAATATTTTAGTTTGCAAGTGAAAAACCCATTCAAATTAGAAAAGCAAACATCTGGATAAATTTACTAATTATTAATATAAATCAAATTCATATATTAATGAAAGAAAGCTCAATAAGAAAAAATTGTTGCAAAAACAATTAGCAAATATTTTTTATAGAAAAAAAAGTTACTAAAATATTAATATTCCAGGAGTAAATCGGTTTTTTACCTTTTTTACTTTTAGAGAAGCTCAACACACAAGGATCAAACTTATTTCTACTACTTCTTCCTATAAACTGTGTTATCTACTTTGAGGCAGTTCTACTCTATGATTGTTTGAAATTACTAAATTTTTAATTTATTTGACATATTAATGCATTTAGATAGAGGTTGCTATATATACTTTTAGCGATTATTACTTGTTTGTTTTTCAAAAATTAAACTGAAAATTTTTACAATAGAAATCATTTTCATCCTTGCAAACACTTGTTATTCAGACTCATATGTAATTTCTTCCTCAAAGAATTTTCTAAGTCTTTCTTTAGTAATATTAATATTAATGCATTTTGAAGTTTTTAAGCTTTTGAGGTCTAATTGAAATCTTTTCACAATCTCTATAAATCCATTTAAAAATATGGGCCTGCCTTTTTGAGCTAATATTAGGAAAATACTATGCATATTGTTTTATCCCATTAATCTAAAGACAGCCAAAGGAATAACCTCATCATTTTTTAATCTCAAACTTAATCAGTATACGATTGATATAAATAAAATTTCTGTTTCATTAAATCCCTTTTTTTTTAACATATACCCTCTCCTGCCTTTTATATTACCATTTTGCTAGTATCAACCTATTCTTTGTGGTGAAGCGTTCTATCCCAATCCATATTTATCCCTTCAATCCTTCCTTCAATTATAAACGAACTTTTTATGACCTAGGTTAGGCATTCAAGTTTCCTCTTTGCTCTCAATTTGCTGGTAGCTAATTATCTATAAGGCAGCTGCTTTTTTTAATAAAAGTGGCTTAAACTGTTAATTATAACCATAAAACTGCTTCGAGGAGGGAAGATATAAATTAGTCCATTTACACATGTCATATCAACTTTTGAAAAATAAATAACAATTATAATTGTGCGCTACGGATAATATTGGAATCATTATTAGCTACTCTAATATTAAACCAACACTCTTTAAATCAATATAATTATTATATCTATAATATATCAGATCTACTAGAAAACAAAATTTGAATACAAATTAGAGCATAAATTGTATTTTCGCTTTCAATTACTATTCAATTCGAAGTGATTTATGAAAACTAAAAAACATTAACCTTACTTAATTATGTAAATTTGTTGAATATATTTGATCATAACATTGACCTTCAATTATATTTCTTTACTAAGATATCAATAAATTCTTATTAAGAGAGCTAACCATCACCATTTGAATCACACAAAACTAAAATTTCTTTCCATAGATTTTCATTGCTTCCTCCACTCATTTCTGTAAAATCATCTTTATTTATATAACCATCACCATTCTTAAATTGATTAAATAATTTACTAAGTCAAACATCTTAAATGCTTATTATAATCTAAATTTATTTAATAATTTCTCCTCATCCACAGCAGCTGTAATAAATTCGGTATAATCCACAATACCAGATTTATTTGTATCTAATTTTTCAAAGATATCATCTACCATTTGATTCGTTTTGATATCATTGTATTTTTCCAGATAGACTATGATTATCTTATGTTTACCTAAAAATAAATCTTCCTTGCTAATTTAACCTTTGCCATCTTTGTCTATTTTTCTGAATTCTTAAAGTAAAGCTTCTTTTTCTTCATTTGTCATAAGATTAGTTGAAATAAATTGCATCAATGCAGCTCTCACCTTATTTTTACACTAGAAATATAATGAATAGTATACAAAAAAAGAATTTAAATTTTTAATTGCTTTGAACTTACACGGAGCCATAGGTGCATTTTTTTAAATCCATGGGTCATTCAAAGCTTCTTAAGCTGAAATTCTTTTAGAAAAATCCATAGTTAACATCTTATTAATCAAATTTTTTGCATCATCCGATATAGTATTCCAATCCTCCGCTATAATCTTAATTGAAAATACATACGTTCAAATTCATATTTCCCTGTTTAAATTTTTGGTAATATCTCATTGTATTTACCTCCAAATGGTGGATAACCACATAACATTATGTAGAGAATAACTCCACAGCTCCACACATCACACTTTTCATTATAATTTTGTTTCAATATTTCAGGGGCAATATAATATCGCTAATAAATTAAATATTTAGTAATACGGATCCACATATTTCAGTTAAATTTTAATTGTTTTCAATTTTGCAGGATAATCCAAAATCAATAATTTTCAAATTCGAATTGGGTTTCTTGTTTTCAAAAATAATGACTTCTGGTTTTAAACCTCGATGAACAATTTTTTTCTCATGACAATGTACTACAGCGCCTAATATTTGTCTCATATAATCTGCAGCGATTTTCTCAGTGAAATGTTTGAGGTTTATAATCTTTTGAAATAATTCCTCTCCCTCTAGATATCTAATTATTCTTATAACTCTTACTCAGTTATTATGTAATAATATTTTTCATCCTAAAATAGTTCATACAGTTTTAAAATGTTAGGATGATTTAATTCTTTAAGGATATTGGCTCCTAAGATTGTGTTTTCCTCCTACTCTTGGAATTATTATCCTGCTTAATCTTTTATTACCTTTTTCATTGCCCTTTTTAATCCTGTACTTTTATGAATAACTAATCTAAGCTCCCCTAATTTGCCTCAAAAATAGATATTATTTGATACCAGATCCCAAAATTTTCTCCATTCTGTAAAACTGCCAAATAGACCCCTTCTTAAGAGTTATAAAAATGTCAGTTCTTATTTAAAATTTATCAACTTAAGGTTAAGATTCAAAATTTTATTCTTCTATTTGAAGTTAAACAACCTGCCTTTATTTTTATGTACATATGCCCATAACTTCTGGAATATTAAATTAAAAAATTTCTTTGTTAGAATTTTATTTTCTATTATTAAGAAGTAAAGTATTTTATAAAATAAAACTTAAATACATTATCAGATAAGCACTCTAAATTTATATACAATTAAATGATAAACCATTAATATAAAACTATAAATACTAAATTATTACGCATTTAATCAAAAAATCTGTAAAGTTAACAAAATTTTAGATTTATTGATTAACCATTACAACAAAAATAGAAGAAATATTATTCAGTTTAGTGATCCAAACAGTTATTGTTTTGCAGATTTTAAAGGTTGTTCTCATGTGCCAATATTTATTATGTTAGAGTTGAGATAAATTATCTCTTATCCTTTACATAATTTTTGTTATTAAAGCCATAGTTAATCATTTTAGATAATATATTTAAGAATTCCTAATAAAATTAATCTAGGAGTAGCATATTATCGAAGCCGCTAATTATGATTTCAAAACCCCAAGGTTTAGTTAAATCTTCCTAGATGAACGGTATATTTGATATTTCTTTTTGACAAATATCTTTTATAAATATAG